CGTATTTCAGATATTCTACATAAGATATATTTAATAATTTTGAGAACAATGACTTTCACAATGGCATAGTTGGGTACAACAAAGGCCGCTTCTTACACATTTACATGCTGCCATCAGAGCTGTCAGTACTTCAAGTAAATTACTTGGAAAATGTATTTCAATTACTTTTTAGTATTTGAAATACTATAATTCGAATAATTTTGTTTTTGGTTATTTGTACTTGATTCTGCAAATACTTTAAATAAAGTATTTGTATTTGGTACTTGGAGTTACAAAAAAAGTATTTCAAATACTGGGCATATGTACTCAAAATACTTCAAATATTTCAAATACTCCAGAAAGCAAAAAGTAATTGAAATACCCCAGAAAGTAATTCAAATACTTTACCAAATGTGAAATTGACATGTCCTAAGGGTCCTAACCAGTATAGATATAAAATCCTTGGATAGGTTTCCTGTCATAAAAGAAGTTTTTCATACAGTATTCATCAGCCCATGCGGAAAGACTTTTTAGTTTTGCAGAAATAGTGAACGCACCTCAAAGACATACGCTCTCTTATACTAAAGGAGAATGTCAAAAGAATAATGTCACTGTGGTAAAGTTTCAATATAGGCAATAGGGTTGTGTTTTTAGTTTTTTACTTTTTCATCTAAGGATTATTATATTTTAACCCAGCCCTAGAATATTTATTTAGTTGTTATTATTTATTTTTTGTACCCATTTATTAGGTTTTGCCTCTTGAGTTTAAATATTTTATTTTTTGTAAAAGTTTACTTTCCTGAATAAATAGGTACCTATCTTGAAACAATCCCACTCACTGCACTCTTTATTTCAATCAACCTTTTCTGGATAAATCTCAAATATTTAAATTGAAAGTAACTACAACCTGCAACTGGAATCTAGGAATTACTGTAATACAATTTTAAAAAAATTATTGAATCATTTTAATTCCTTTCTAGTGGGTACTTGAAGTACTTATTATTATTTCAAATACATATAGGTATTTCAAATATTTAATTTAAGTACCTACTTGAAATACTTACAGAGTATTCGAATTATTTTACTTGAAGAAATCAAATACTAAATTAAAGTACTTGAAACTTGAAGTACTTTCCAAATTGAAAGTATTTAGTATTTGTACTTGCAACATGAATTTCCCGTAATAGACCGATCTCCTATCACCTGGACTGCGCGCGTCGCTTGTAGGCTGCAGGTGAGCGTCCAATGAGAAGCAAGTTTATGACAGGCTTGCGTCATATTCTTATTCAGGGGCCAGTTCAGAATGAATCGTTCCTTCTTTCTTTGTAACGTGTAATTCGACAAAGAGCAAACTAATACTTTACATATTACTTGAACTCACCGCAGTTTCGTTTAAGGTTATGTTAGATTATACTTGACATATTCCTTTGCAATTTTATTGAGCGATGTTGCCGGATGAAACATTTATCAAAATAAAATTGCAAACGATGTTTATCCACTTTAAAGCTCTTCTTTTGTCTATTTTAAGGCGTGGTGAAACACTTGAGACTATATTACTTCTTTAATGTTATAATGTTCGATTTGTATTGTCTACATTTGTTCTGCAACAATACAATCTGGCTACACTGCAGCCTACGAGTTGCGCGCGCATGTCATCTTTTATTGTTTTCTAACTTGTATTTATTACAATGAAGCTTCCTTTTTCTAATCATGGGAGATAGGTCTATTGATACTTGGTATTTGAAATACTATTTACCAGTATTTGTGACAGCTCTGTCTGCCATACATCTTTGTTTGCAGCTACAGGCAATAAGTTTTTCACAACTTTTTGCGACATCTGGAATAGTAGACCACAATGGTTGAAAGCCGTCATTGGTTTTTTCTCAACACCAGATATTGGGTGGAGGAGTCTGGTATTCATTTTCCAGGCAGTGTAGCCATAAAAGACCTTGCAAGGTTGCTCTATTTGTATGTTGGAGTAACGCATTTTCAGTTGGTGGACTGTTTTCAATTGCTCCATTTTTTTTTCATGAAAAGGTGTTGTCTGCATTCGTTGACAGAGCTAAAGGGAGGTGTCGAGTCGTAGAGAAAAACTACAAATCTTTGAACCTCGCGCATTATTTCTTCAGTTGGAGGTCTTCCCATTAGTAGTTGCTCAAAAGCTGCATTAATATTCGGATGTGTCATCCACACCTTCCACGCCCCTTTCTTACCTACTCCGCGAAATGATGACACAGTATCGCAACCTGTTATGGAATGAAATATTGGTAAAAAGTTGCAGATCTCTTGAGATAAACAAGAGCAGAGCTCATGGATTCCTATAAAACTTTCATGACAAAATGGCCGCTATATTCACCTTTTTTTTTTGAATGATAATACTTGACTATATTTGAGAAAAACAAACGATTTTTGAAAGAAATGATGGGACAAAATTCTCAACAAAAGTTGATACGTTCATGCTTAACGTGGTTCTTTTATCTCTACATTGATGACGTCATAATTGGTAGTGGGGGTCAGAAATATTCTGGGTCTGGGGCGTTTTTTAATCTTTGATATATCTACTATCTAAATCCAAAAGGGCACCTTCTCCGCCAGAAGTGAAATATTTTTATGAATTTTAAGACTAAGCCACCCGACTAAAGAGAAGTCGAGGCGCTCCCAGACTTGGTATTGGATGCACTGGCTGGCGCTATCAATGATTCTTTTGCAAATGGAATATTACTACTAACTACTATCGCGGATAATTCACTCTCTGTAGACTGATAACTCATCTTCCAAAACTACCTTATTTTATGCTAGCTAGCCACCATGGTACGTGATTTCTAAATACAATAACTACCGATGACCTGGCGTCGGCATTGACCTTCTATGGATTTCAGTTCCATGTCCGTACAAATTAATAATTTAATAATTCGTTCAACTTGCAATGTTATTTACATGTAACGTGATCGATGGTCTTCCTGTAATCTATGAACTTTTTTGGAAGATGAGTGACTTTAATTTACTGAAGGGAGATGCCCTATTATCCTAGATACGGCAATATTAGAAAATTACCATGTATCAGCTTTGACGCCGTTTAAGTCTTGTCAGAATCGGGACTCAAATCTAGTTAGACCTCTTCGAAACCGAGGAAGACCCCGAGGTACAACTTCAGTTGCAGACAATGCAGGTGGAGTTTCAGATAAAAAGTTATCATCCACTACTATAGAACATGCTACAGATGAAAAGGATGATGGTGACTCTAGTAACTTCGCAGTACCAAGAAGCTTTACTCATTTCAGAAGACTGGATCTCCGGTGTTGTGTTTGCGATTTTGCATTTCGTAACTTTCCCGAGAAAATTACACAGAGTCCCTGTATCCAAAGCAGAGCTTGAACCACCGACTGCTCGCCACAAACTCTTCAAGATGGAACAAAATTTCGCTGGGGTAGTCGAGGTGCTTCCAGACTTGGTAATGGTTGCACTGGCTGGAGCTATCAATGATTCCTTTGCAACTGGAAAATTTCCAAATTGTCTTAAAAGGGCCTTGATTGTTCCATTGTTCACAAGTGGAGATCGCGAGCTACCTTCAAATTTTCGACCCACTGCACTACTTCCTACCCTCTCTAAGATAGTAGAAAAACTAATTCAAGTTGGACTAACGTCTTTTCTAAGAAAGCATAAACTTCTTAGTGTCACAAAATTCGGATTTTAAGCGGAGAAAAGCACAAGTGATGCAATTTTTAATCTTTTGGATCAACTATACATACACTTTCAGGAGAAAAGGCTTCGGCGGTGTTCTGTGATCTGACCAATGGATTTGATTGTGTAATCATGGAATACTACTGGTAAACTAGTATCTATGGCGAATCGCCAGCGAGTCGCTGTCTTTGGCTTAGCACACGGCGACTCCCTGGCGACTCGCTGGCGATTGACTATGAATACGCCTGTGTGAGTATCGGCGTACCTCCGGGCTCAATTCTTGGACCACTCTTGTTCTTCATTTTTATCAATTACAAGACTTTCCGAGATTATTAAGGAAGATGTATTTTTGCTGAAAGAATGGTTAGATGCAAACCGATTACCCCTCAATATTTCAAAAACTAATATTCCTAATTTTAAGTGTGAAATTAACAACATTCAACCAGAAAATGAAGCTCTCTCGAATCCCGAATCGAATAAATTTCTTGGCTTAACAATAGATTAACACAATAAGTTTGCTGAACATGTCAAAATTCTTAATGAGAAAATTATTGCTTCTGGCTTCTGGCACTTATAAGAGTTATATCGTGCCTTGAAATAGCTAGGAGTGCCTACTTTTCTTTATTTCAATCACATTTATCCTATGGAATATGCTACTAGGAGTGTTGTGCAAACTCCCTTTTTAGATCTGTATTTGTGTTGCAAATGAGAGCACTTAGAAATGTATGTAGAGTCAAAAGGGGATCTTCATGCAGACCTCTATTTCTGCAGCATACAATGTTAACCTTGTGCTGTATATTTATTCTTGTACCCACAAATTTATTCTTGAAAGTGTATGTGTTATCTTTAAAAAATATAATGAGGAGCTGGATAGACAAAGGCAGTATGGAGCTACGAGTGCTACACTTGCCCATTCCAGATTTAACATTAGTAAAGACTCTTTTGTCTACAACACAAAAAAAAAAGTTTTATGCCTTGCCTACTGAAGTTAGGAAACTAACAGGTTACAGAAGGTTTCGGTGTATGAGCAAGGAGTTTTTGGTCTCTAGGCCATTTTGGACTTTACAAATAAATAGCATTAAGGTCTAAGGCGAACAAACATTTCATTTGATTTGTTTTACTGTACTTGTTGGTGCTCAATTTGGCTTTAAGCTGGATGTAATTAGATTTGTTTTATTTATCAACTAGTGATATATGTATGTGCAACTAATTTTAAGCAAAAGTCAACAAGTACTATGTGTTTAGACAAATAAAGCTACTTTAGAATTGTATTACTAAGTAGCATTTAAGATAAACAATGTAAATAGGCAGTCTCTATCAAACAATAAATAAACGCTTACCTTGCAGTACTTTTTTCATCAGGTTTCTTATTTCTCTTAGCCCTCTTTGCTGGCTCATGCTGAATATCTATGTCAGCTTCCCGACCTCTTTTTAAGTCAACAAAAATCACTTCATCCGAGTCTTCATCCAAAACTTGCAAATCTACTTGCAATGAGTTCGCAATGTTTTCAAGAGGCAAAGTCTCACCCAATGGGTTTTCAACATTACCAATTTTGTCTTTTTGTTTTTGAGGTTCCTCGAGTTCTGTGGCTTCGTTCATAAATGTGTTGGTTCCGTCTATGTTCCTACATTTAAATTTTTTTATTTAATAATGCATAGTATTACTACTAGTATATAAAACCAGCAATGAAAATGGACACTTTCTGAACAAATAGATGGGCCCTTACCATGTAGTACTTTTGTCACCATTCTTATTTACTTCTGAGCTTTTATCAGTTTCTTGATTTCTCTCAGCCCTATCTGTTGGTTCATCTCGAATCTCTGCGCTAGCTACCCAATGACTCCAATCACAAGATTGATCAACAAACATCACTCTGTCTAAAACTTGCGGTATAAACCTGCATTTAAATTTTTTTATAGTCAATATTATAATTTATGGTATTACAAGTATTTAAGAACAACAATGTAAATGGGCAGTCTCTGTCTACAAATAAATAAACCCTTACCATTCAGTATTTTTGTCAGCCCTCTCTGTTGGTTCATCTTGAATCTTTGCGCCTGCTCCAAAATGAACCCCATCACTCAAGTAAAATTGATCAACAAAAATGACTTCGTCCAAGTCTTCATCCAAAACTTTCGAATCCTCCTTCAATGAGTTTTTGTCTTTCTCAATTTTGACTTCCTGTTGTTTTTGAGGTTTTTTGACTTCGTTTATGATATTGTTGTTTCCTTCCATGAACCTACAGTTAAACATTTTTCATAGTCATTATTGTATTTCATAGTATTACCTAAAGTATCTAGTACAAATTTAGGAAAAACAATGTGAATAGACGGTCTTGAATAAACCCTTACCATTGAGTGTTTTTTTCACAAACTCTATTCACTTCTGGATTTTCATCAGGTTCCTCATTTGTCGCAACCCTCTCCGTTGGGGCATCGCAAATCTCTGAGCCAGCCCCCTGATCACTTTTGACGTCAATTTGATCAACAAAAATCACTTCATCCGAGTCTTCATCAGAAACTTGCACATCTTCCTTGAATAAGTTGGTGACTTTTTCAAAAGATAGAGCCTTATTCAATAGGTTTTCGAAAGTTTCAATTTTGTCTTCTTTTTTTTGACGAGCTTCAAGTTTATTGGCTTCGTTCATAATGGTGTTGATTCGGTTCCTACATTTAACAATTTTTTTAAGTCATTATTATGCCTATTTATAGTAATAATAGTAATTTAGTGAAAATAATGTAAATGGACATTCTGTCAACAAATAAATAAACACGTACCATTCAGTATTTTTATTCACTTCTGGACTTTTATCAGGTTCTTCATTTCTCCTAGCTGTCTGCGTTTGTTCTTCCAGAATCTCTGCACTAGCTCCTCCACTTTTTCCATCAATTTGATCAGCAAAAGCTATTTTGTCATCAAAAACTTGGAAATTCTCCTGCAATGGGTTTGCGTCGTTCTCAATTTTGTCTTCTTGTTCTTCTTCGGCTTCGTTTATGATGTTGTTGTTTCCTTCGATGAACCTACATTTAACCAATTTTTATAATCAATATTTTATTTTTATTTTTATTTTATTTTTCAATGGACAGCTGCCCAATATAAAGAAAGTTAACAATAATAAAAATACTTAAACTTAATCAAGACCTAATTTATCCCAGAGCTGAACAACAACAGTAAACACCCATGAACAGCAACATAACAATTCTTAAAACTAACGGTATTCAGGTGGAGGCAATAAGAGTAGTACCAGAAAGGAAAGATAGTACTGTTTCAATAAATTTAGTTACATATAGGAGATTAGAGATTAAAGTGTGGTAACGTTACTGCGGTAACGTTAATTTTTGGTAAGGTAATTTTGGTAATTTAACCCGACAAATTTCTTTACCAGTAATTTTCAGAAAGGCTTCCTGAATGAAATCACATTTAGGCGCAATCCTTTTCATGCATTATTCGCCATCTATTAGTTATTTACCTTACAAGTGTGGAAAGTGGTTCTTTTCCGCCCGCGATGGCAGTTGGCAAGCTGTCAAGGGTGGAAAAGACATTTTCCACAAGAGTTAGGTGTAATGTTTTTCCACAAGTGTTTTTGTTAGGAAATTAGGAGAATTTAGTTTTGTTTTTTTTTTGTGTTTCATTTTCTTTGCTCGTTTTTTGTTCTAGGAATTAGGTATTATTACACTATTATTATTTGTTTATTGCAATATTTCTATCAGCTTAGATTTTACAACAAACACTATTATGATAAATGGTTGTTTAGGTGAAAAATCCTGAAAGTATATAATCTTTGAACGTATATGTAGTATATGGTCATAATTGTTTGTTTTATGAAATATTTCCAAAATTACCAAAATTACCGAAAAATTACCGGTAAATTACCACTGAGAAAGAACAAATGAAAATAACCGGTAAACTTCAATCTCTATAGGAGATAGGAGCTCACAGACAGCCCCTCAGTTCCTTCCTGAATATTTTTTGAGTTTAAACACAGTCTAAATCGTCTGAAAATTTATTTGCTAGTCTAGCTGATCTAGCCAGGAACGAGCCATAGTTGGTACAATGGGAATCAATTTGAAAGGAATGGTTTAGTCTGATTTGGCGAGAGCGAACATGAAGCCCAATTTTATTTGTGAGCTCAGGGCCATGGGAATTTGAGTGAAGTAAATTATAAAACATAGAGAGATCTCTCTGCATACGACGAACCTGAAGGGATGTAATTTGAAGGAAGTTTTCCAATTCAGGATAATTTACGTTATCGACTTCATGATGTTCTTCGAATGCTATGTACCTCAAAAACTGCACCTCTCGATAGCCAGTATATGGACATTAAAAGAGGGAGACCACACACCAGGCAACAGAAAAGCAGTTTGAGTTTGAGCGAAGGGATATTTAGAAAGTCCTAAATACAGCGTTTCATAAAGCCCAATAACTGAAGTGATTTAGAAAGAACTGATGGATGTGTTGTGTGCACGTAATTTATGTTCTATCTGTAAGGTATGATGTCAACCATTCTAAAAGCTCTCTCTGAATTCCAATGTGCCTCAATTTATTGATTAGGATTTTATGGTTTACTCTGTCGAAGGCTTTCGTACAATCTGTGTATATGGCATGCACATGGGACCCTTCTAGCAATGAGTTCAAGAGAAAATCTGTAAATGTAAGCAAGTTTAACTCAATGGAGCGGTGGGGGAGAAATCCAAATTGCTGGTTGATGAAGCAATCCCTCAGACCAGCAGAAAAATTGGAATACAACTGAAAATACTGATAAGCCTGTAACTGTCACCTAATTTTAGTATAGTGGTGATGAAGCTTATTTTCCAGTAGGTTGGAAAACTTCCAGACTTTAGGGAAAGATTGAAGATAATATGAAGTGGTCTTGAAAAGATGAAACTACAATATTTGTTAAGGTTTGGTGGGAGACCATCCGGATCAAGTCCTTTATTTACATCCAAACTTGATAACCTTTCATAAATTGATAAGATTGATATATTGAAATGGGAAAGATTGATGTCACCAAAAATTACAAAGTCATTCAGGATACAGTCATTGTCACTATACATTTTTAAGAAGTATTCAGCAAACAAATTGACAATATCCTCTCCCACAGAACAACTTAAATCAAAGTGCATGACTGATGGTATATACTATAGCTTTTATCCTTTTGCCAGCCACAAATTTCCAAAAATTTTTAGCATTGTTTCTGAGAGACGATTCAGTTTAAGCTATATGATAATAATATAAATTACAGTATAACTACTAGTAAACAATGTTTGTGGCCACTCGCTGTCAAAAAATAAATAAACTCTTACCATTCCAAATGTTTTCCACCGACTTTATTTACTTCATTAGGTTCCTCATTTTCCTTAGCCTTCCTTGCTGGTTCATGCTGAATATCTGTGCCACATCCCCGAGCTCTTTTCATATCAATTTGATCCATGTTTCCATCAAAAACTTGCAAATCCTCCTCAAATAAGTTCGTGTCTTTTGCAAAAGATAAAGCCTCATTTAATAGGATTTCGAAAGTTTCAGTTACGTTTTCCTGTTTTTGAGGCGCTTCCAATTCTTTGGCTTCGTTCATAATGTTGTCGATTCTTTGTAGGTACCTACATTTAACCGTTTTTTTGAAATCAATATTATAATAATTTATAGTATTATTATTGGTATTTAGGGAAAACAATGGACACTTTGTAAACAAATAAGTACAGGGTGATCTATTATAAATGTCACCCCCTGCTAACTTTTTCATTTGACGTTTTTGACAGAAGTGTCAAATACAAAAGTTTTGAGAAATTGTCAAAAGTTTTTAACTAAATCAGTTTTAGGCATACAGGGTGCGTGTGAAGTTATATTTTTTTTAATGGAACACCCTATATATTGTGTGCTTATTTGTTAGTCCTCTTTAACCTGATTTCAACGATATACGGTTTGCTATGTTTATCTCTCGGTTTATCTCCAATAGTTATAGATATATTTTTTTAAATTATAAAAATAACTTAGACAACTGGATTTATTATAATATTTGACCTTGTATATTAATAAATGAAATTTGAACAATAAATTGTGCATAAAAAAAAGTTCTCTAAAGCTTAAATTGTATGATTTTTCCTTTTTTTAATATGAAACCTTGAAAGGAGTTTTCATGTTTTTCCCTATAACTATTGAAGATAGACATATCAAACTATACAGGGTGTATATTTTAAGTGATACCACTATTGCTATATCCGAAACGGTAAGAGCTACAAGGTCGGTTAAATTAGGAAAAAGTTGCCTTTTTCGATGCCCATTTAAGACTCGTTTACAGTATTGTCAAATTCTTTTTGGTTTATGAAATACAGAGTGATTCCTAAGAAACGCCCAAAACTATTTCATCAATTATTTTGAAAACTATTGATTTTCGAGACACAATTTAAATTTGAAAGTTTTTTAATTTTTCTCGCTCTACAACATGGTGTCATCAAATTTCAAATCCGATGTTTCGTAATCGAGCTACCATCATCAACTTCATTTTTTTAAATACGGACCTGGATTTTTTATGTCATTTTTAGAAAGTGCCTTTTATTCCCTTTGTAAAAATAATGTAAAAAGACCAGGGGGCGGATTACGAACTCTCGATTCGAACCGAAACCGCCATAGATTTCGAACGCATTCCTATGCATTCACATGGAGTGCGTTCGAAATCCATGGCGGTTTCGGTTCGAATCGAGAGTTCGTAATCCGCCCCCAGGACCGGTATTCTCGTTCTCGAAAACGCTCACCGCTTCTCAGTCGATCGGCACTTTCAATGTAAATTTGTATTTGAAGTGCCGAGCGACTAGAAAGCGGTGAGCGTTTTTGAGAACCAGAATACCGGCCCAGGTCCGTATAAAAAAAAAGGAAGTTGATGATGGAAGCTCGATCACGAAACGTCGGGTTTAAAATTTGAAGATGCCATGTTGTAGAGCGAAAAAAATTATAAAACTTTCAAATTTAAATTGTGTCTCGAATATCAATAGTTTCTGAAATAGTTCATGAAATAGTTTTTGGCGTTTTTAAGAAATCACCCTGTATTTCATAAACTAAAAGGAATTTGACAACACTGTAAACAAGTTTTGAATGGGCATCACAAAAGGCAACTTTTCTCTAATTTAACCGACCTTGTAGTTCTTACCGTTTCGGATATAGTAATAGTGGTATCACTTAAAATATACACCCTGTATATGGTTGAAATCAGGTTAAAGGGGAGTAACAAATAGGCGCATAATATATAGGGTGTTCCATTTAAAAAAATTTAACTTCACACTGCTACACTTTTTTGACATACCCTGTATGCCTAAAACTGACTCAGTTAAAAACTTTTGACAATTTCTCGAAACTTCTGTATTTGACACTTTTGTCAAAAATTTCAAATGAAAAAGTTAGGAGGGGGTTACATTTATAATAGATCACCCTGTACACACTTACCATTCAGTATTTGTTTCGCTATTTTCATTTACTTCTGAATCAGGTTCCTCGTGCGTTGGTTCGTCCAGAATCTCTGGAAAAGTTCTTCCTATTTTCTCATTAATTTGATTAGCAACAGCTACTTTGTTATCAAAAACTTGGAAATCTTCCTCCAATGAGTTTGCGTCGTTTTCAATTTTGTCTTCTTGCTGTTTTTGAGGTTCCTCAACTTCTTTGGTTTCGTTAATAATAGTGTTGTTTCCTTTTATGAACCTACATAAACATTTTTCAAAGTCATTATTTCGGATAACCAATATAAATGGACACTCTTTGACAATAAATAAATCCTTACCATTTAGTATTATTGTCACCGACTTCATCTTCTGCCGGATTTTTAGGTTCCCCATTTCTCTCGGGCATCTTCATTGATTCATCCTCAATATCTACGCCACCTTTATTCACGTTAATTTGATCAATGAAATTTACTCTCATTTGTGAGTCATCAACCAAAACTTGTAATTCCTTCTCCAATGAGTTTGTCAATTCTCCAAATTTGTTTTCTTGTTTCTCGAGTTCTTCAACTTTATTCATGGTGGTATTGGTTTTGCAATGGTCAAATGTTGGGGTGCTACTGCTACTGCTATGGTATAGCCACAGTTGTTCCGGGGTTTCTTTATTTGAGGTGGTTGAGTCCATGGTTTAGATGGAAATGCATTTGCAATATTGCCTAGAAAAGCTGTCGCCAACCTGTCGGTCGCTAGCTACCAGAAAAGCCAAAAGGAATTCTGGTATTAAACATTAGCTCACGACATATTTTAAATTTAAAAAATACAAAAGCAAATTCTTATATAATAAACAATAAACATAATCAGCTACATTTAAAAACCTCTGCCTCGAGTTTTAAAAATTCATCCCCAGTACGAAATTGCAACTGAATACTTATACAGTGTATCCCAGATAATACTAATAGCCACAATACAAAAAACCTTATGAAGATAGAGAAATAATAAAACAAACGTTTCTAGAAGCTGCAGATTCGTTAATTACCAACTTTGGAAATATCGATAAAACAGTTTCAGCTATAAAATCTTTACAAATTTCTGCTATTACACCTCTGAGACGATTAGAAGTAATGAGCTCATACTCATACTCATACTCAATATGCTTTATTGTCCAAAAAATATAAATTATTATTGAAGAAGCGAAAAATTACTACGTTTTTATGGAGTTGTGAAATCGGTTTTGGTATTGAAAACGACTGAAAACAGGCACTGAAATCGATTTCAGTCTCAAGGTCGTTTCACCTTTTTTTGAGATACTATCCATCGATCATCGATCGAGATTTAAATTCAGAAACTTGCATCCGATTCCAATTCTAATTTTGCCTCTGCATGAAAACGGGGAAGAGGATTGGATTCAAACATTGATTCAAACTGATTTAAACTCTATGAAAACGTAGTAAATATATACAGGGTTGTCGTTATGTATGGAAACGGTCTAATATTTCAGAGCGCGCTTAAGGAACATGTACGATATTTCCTACATGTACATTTGGAAAAAAGCATTGAAAAAATTATCAATGAGTCTCACTCATTGTATACAGGGTGGCCAATTGAAAACGAAACAGAGGTGATTTTGGGCTTCCCAAGACATTTAAGAAAAAACCCTCGTACCTGTCGATTTTTGATTTAAGGGGGAACCATTTTTTTGTTGTTTTCACCCCCTGGGGAGCAAAGCCCTAGCGGGGGTGACATGGGCCTCCAAAATTTTAAATGGTATGAGGGGTCGAGTGATACCTTATTTTGAAGCTATTTTTATGTAGATTATAACCCCCAAGTCTTACATCGCTACTATCTACCTAGCCATTACAGGAGCTAATTTAAGTTACAAAAACATGTTGGAATATTTTGTATTTAAAAAATGCTTCAAAAACAAAATCAATCAATTAAATGCCGAAAATGACCCCAGAAGAAAAAATCTAACGGGCCTAAATCTGGAGAACATGGGGGCCACTCAATATTGACGAGCCACTGCAGCATAATGTAGTGACGCACAATCTGGTTCTTGTTGGGATATATTAGTGTATGCATCTGTTGTCATTCTCTAATATCTCCACCAATTCTGGATGAATCGCATCTTCTAAACACTCTAGGTACATTTCTCCTGTTAAATTTATAGGTAAAAAAGGGGTCTATTTATTATACGGTTATCAAAAATGCTAGCCCAAACACTGAAATAATCTACATCTCAGTGGCGGCTCGTGACAATCCAAACTGGTGAGGCCCATGGCCCATCAAGTTAACCCAAACAAACCCAAACAAAATTTTCAAGTGTTACGCCCAAATTTTGACCCAAAATTTCATCAAAAGAACATCTCGGATATTTTTTTTTGTATATTTCTAATGAAAATTTTCATTTCTTACAGTTGCAAAACAACAGCAGTAGGTACATAATTCTTATTTTAATACAAATATTGAGTTTCAAATTAACAAAATAAATTCCAAAAAACAGTTTTTTAACCCGCAACAGACCAAAATAAAAAGTATGAGCCAATTAACCAATTAAATACTTGTCGCAGCAGCAAGCGCTGCAAGGTTTCTTATTAACAATAACAAGCCCAAAATTGTGCGCCTCAATACCTATAAAAATTCGCTATCGTCTCCCCTACAGTTGAAGCGTTGTGGTGGGGAGTGCCGTGGCATCGCTTCGGCGTTCTGTGACGCACATGAGGCCAAAATTTTTGGGATTGCTATTTTATTTTAATGCTGTCCGGCAACGATTTGAGCGCCTATAAGGATAAATAGGTAGAAGCGCGCGTTAAATTCAAGAAATAGTATTATATTTTAATGAAAATTCGATGTTTTGATTCTTTTAATGATTGAAAATAGTTGAAAAACGTTAAATATTTGATAAATATTATTTCAAAATTTTACGTCATTATTGTAATTTTTACATGTGAGGCCCGGCCTCAGTTGCTTTATACGACGAGCCGCCACTGCTACATCTCCATAATGCCCTAGGACTGTATTTCGCACGTATTATACCTGCAAATAGGGTTATTATTTTCAAATAATAAACTGGCACGACATAAAATAAAGAAGGAGCATTTAGAATCTACCAGCAGGTACCAGTTAGTAAATTTGTAGGCTAATGTCAGTTTTTATGCCGATATGGAGTATTTATTATTAACTTTAGTAAGTTTTTTAAAGTAATAATGGTTTACTCGCTTGCCGAAAGGGTAGAAATCATTGAAATTTACTTCTGGAGTCAGTGCGCTAATCAATCAGCGTCACCAAGACAAGCATGTCTATCAGAAGTATGTTCTGGAGCTAGTTCAAAAATTTCGAGCAACAGGAAACCTATGTAACAAAAAACGGGTTATTGAAAACGCAGTTATAAATAGAGCCACTGAGGTAGCGGTCTTGGGACAGATTGTTCTGGATCCTACTTTAAGTACGAGACAAATTTCCACAGTTTCTGGTATTAAGCAAAGTAGCATTCAAACGATTTTAAAAAGAAACAAGTTTGATCCCTATAAAATACATCTGGTGCAGGAACTTAATGAGGACGATTTTGACCGGCGCTTGCAGTTTTGTGAAATTATGAGTGACCGAGCAACCAATTATCCGAATTTTATTTCCAATATCTGTTTTTCCGATGAATGCACCTTTTTTTTTTAAATGGGCATCGTAAATCGCCATAACTGCCGCTATTGGAACGACTCAAATCCTCGAATTTTCCATGAGGTGCACACATAACAACCTCAGAAATTGAGTGTTTGGGCTAGTATTTTTGGTAACCGTATAATAGACCCCTTATTTACCTATAAATTTAACAGGAGAAATGTACCTAGAGTGATTAGAAAATGCGATTCATCCAGAATCGGTGGAGATACTAGAGAATGATAACGGATACATGGAAAACCGTCTAATATTCCAACAAGATGGTGCGCCACCCCACTATGCTGCAGTGATTCGTCAATATTTGGACCAAAGGTTTTCAGGACAATGGATTCGAAGGAGAGGAGCTATTGAGTGGCTCCGGCGTTCTCCAGATTTAAGCCCGTTAGATTTTTTCTTCTGAGGTCATTTTCAGAATTTACTTTATTGATTTTGTTTTTAAAGCATTTTTTTAAATACAAATTTTTCAGCATGTTTTTGTAACTTTAATTAGCCTCTGTAATGGCTAGAGGTAAATAGTAGCGATATAAGACTTGGGGGTTATAATCTACATAAAAATAGCTTCAAAATAAGGTATCACTCGACCCCTCATTCCATTTAAAATTATGGGGGCCCTTGTCACCACCGCTAGGGCTTTGCCCCCCAGGGGGTGAAACCACCAAAAAAATGGTTCCCCCTCAAATCAAAAATCGACGGGTACGAGGGTTTTTTCTTAAATGTCTTGGGGAACCCAAAATCACCTCTGTTTCGTTTTCAATTGGCCACCCTGTATAAGATGCCATTGTGGCTGCACATATTTTTTTTATATTTAAAACATCTTCGATTGGAAGGCATGATGCGAGGCATGATGAATGTATTAGTAATATTTGTTATTCTGTTGTTAGTACGTACTTAAATGTATTAGTTAATTACTAAATAAAATACATATAAAGTCTGTTTTTTTTTTTGATTCCCCAAGTCAAAAATTTAGTAACTATGTTGGCAACGCAAGCCTTTTCTACATAAAAAATTTGAAAGCATTGACAATTTGAAATTGTGTTGCCAACATAATGTCATTTTGACTTTTATCTTAAAAAAAAAAAAACAGAATTTATGTTGAATACAACTACTGTGCATTATTTCATTTAGGCTGGCTCAGTGAAATGCACAAATGAATCTCGCTTAGAAATTGACGTTTCTCAAATTTTTAGTGTCCAAATTGGCTCACCCTGTATATACAAGATATTAATTAAAAGCATCTGAAGTTAATGCTGATTTCGCCACCATAAAAGTTTTTGCATGTTGCACACTTCACAACTATGAACAATCGAAATACCTCTAATTATTATTCTACCACAATACAGGGTGGGCCAATCAAAATGAAACAAGCCCGATCTTTTATACACCGTTCGTTTTAAAAAAATCGCTCGGACCCGTCGATTGTTATAGGGAAAGATTTTGCGCATATCATGAGGCTTGTCAATTCAACTCCTTCGTGGGCGTGAGCTCCAACCCCAAAACTTTGCATGGGAATAAGAGGATCTTTTCAACAGATCTAACATAAAAATAAGGAACTGTTTTCCATCACATTTATCAATCAAAAAATTTAATCTAAATCCTAATTTTATCATTTAAAGAAAAAGTAGATGTTTGGGTGAACAATTTGTGAATAGTGCAATGGTTTATACCCACTACTAAAGAATATTATATTTAACACTTACAGAAAACCCACGCTTATGGGCGACGGCAGACCGCTAGAGGCGTTTCTTCGGTGGTATAAATTGAAATAATTTATATTCGCGCTAGCTTTCCGGCAAACAAATTTTAGCAGCGTTGCGCGCTCCTCCTCTCAGGCATTTAATATTTTCTGTGATTTTACCGGTGGCGGTTTTAGAATATTATTTTTTACATCGACATTATTAGATGATATGTAAAAAAAACAAAAGTTACAATAAATCATATAATAGACATTCATAAAATAATACAGTTGCTACTGAATACCTAGTTGCTACGTCTAATTTGCTGTATTTAGGAAATAAAATCGGTCTTCTAAATAGGTAATGTAATTTAATATAAA